ACATGATAGTATAAGATACGTAAAATAAGTGTCAAAGCAACACCTTTTAGTTGGAACTATATTTCCTGTTGTAACTGTCCGAGTGATTAATCAAAGACCTCTTTACGTGATATATTAATGCGTGCATTCAAGGAAAACGTGCTATGTATGGGTACCGTTTGTGTGAGAGGAGAATAGTTTTCGAGATCTGGTGGTCAGACTCGCTGACTTGGTTAATGCATGTCAACGTATCCCAATTGCGTGGATCGATGCTCATGATGTCTGATCACGGGATTGTCTGGTCCCGACTCGATTATTTACAGACCGCCGTCATATAGCTGGAATACTGCTGAGTGCGGCGTTGAACAACAAAACAAACAAACCAAACAATGTCACGTTGATGCCTGAAGACATTTGCTGCCTGGCTATGTATTGGGTCAAAGGCAGCCTGTGAGTGTGTAATGTATTGTACTTATGATGGGCGTACCATTCATCCTACCTAGTTAGTGTAAGAACGTTTCTGCCACCCCTCGTAATATGCCACACAATTATCTTTTTCTTGTGTTTTTGCTCACAAAATGCATCAAATACTAGTAGTTGTAGTTTTCCAACACAACGAGGTAGAAACATCGACTCTGACAGTGTTAAGATATCTGTCCACATATAAGTACATCTAGACCTTCATACTTTCACTTACATGCAGTTTCGAGATAACGAAATTGATTGTATGTAGTATAATATAGATTTGAAATTTAACCAGTTTTAATCAACTCTTTTAGTCCTTTTTGCTGAGAACGATATCTATGCCTGAAGGTACATGTTGTACATTGCTGACTTTGTGCGACATAAATATGAGATAAATATCATTATAAGCCTGATATTAAGATATGAGTGGATTTCTTGCGACATAAATACGAAATCAATATCGTAACAAAAGCCTGGCATTAAGATATCAGCTGAACTATATTTCTCATAATGCACAAGGTACTATGGCATGTGATGACTTGGCTGTGGTATTATGGTTCGTTCAAACAGAAATGTGCTAGATCAGAAAACATGTTAGGGATGCTCAATTCAAAAATCGAAAAGGGTCTTCTCCGTCATCATCAAACCCACTGACAATAAAGTACAGAAACATGAAACCGAGTATTGCATTTCAGAAATATTAACGTTTAGGTATTTTGACAATCACTGAAATACGCAGTTTAGGTGCCAGCTAATTCGAAAACGCCGATTTGAAATAAGACCCTCAAACTTTGCAGAAAATCAATAACTAATAAATACATCGCCTAAGAGGAATGTGTCACAGGATAAGAAATACCTTGCAACTTACTGACTCCCATAGCCTTTGTGTCTCCACATGTCTTCATATGTGTCCACCCATCTGTATCTGTACCTCCACATGTCTCCATATTTGTCCCTCCATCTGTATCTGTACCTCCACATGTCTACATATCTGTCCGTCCATCTGTATCTGTACCTCCTCATGTCTCCATATTAGTCCCTCCATCAGTATCTGTACCTCCACATGTCTACATATTTGTCCCTCCATCTGTATCTGTACCTCCACATGTCTACATATTTGTCCGTCCATCTGTATCTGTACCTCCTCGTGTCTCCATATGTGTCCCTCCATCTGTATCGGTACCTCCACATGTCTCCATATTTGTCCCTCCATCTGTATCGGTACCTCCACATGTCTCCATATTTGTCCCTCCATCTGTATCTGTACCTCCACATGTCTACATATTTCTCCCTCCATCTGTATCTGTACCTCCACATGTCTCCATATTTGTCCCTCCATCTGTATCGGTACCTCCACATGTCTCCATATTTGTCCTTCCATCTGTATCGGTACCTCCACATGTCTCCATATTTGTCCCTCCATCTGTATCTGTACCTCCACATGTCTCCATATTTGTCCCTCCATCTGTATCTGTACCCCCTCGTGCCCCATATTTGTCCCTCCATCTGTATCTGTACCTCCACATGTCTACATATTTGTCCCTCCATCTGTATCGGTACCTCCACATGTCTCCATATTTGTCCCTCCATCTGTATCTGTACCTCCACATGTCTCCATATTTGTCCCTCCATATGTATCTATACCTCCACATATCTCCATATTTGTCCGTCCATCTGTATCGGTAACTCAACATGTCTCCATATTTGTCCCTCAATCTGTGTCTGTATGTGGGTCTCTATCTGTCCCTCAATCTGGCTCTGTATGTGTGTCTCTATCTGTCCCTCAATCTGGCTCTGTATGTAGGTCTCTATATCTCCCTCAACCTATGTGGGTCTCTCTATGTCCCTAAATCTGGCTCTGTATGTGGTTCTCTATATGCCCCTCGACCTGGCTCTGTATATGGGTCTGTATCTGTCCCTCAGTCTGGCTCTGTATGTTGGTCTTTATCTGTCCCTCGTTTGGGCCTGTAATGTAGGTCTCTATCTGTCCCTCGATCTGGCTCTGTATGTAGGTCTCTATATGTCCTTCAATCTGGCTCTGTATGTGGGTCCCTATATGTCCCTCAATCTGGCTCTGTATGTGGGTCTCTATATGTCCCTCAAATCTGGCTCTGTATGTGGGTCTCTATATGTCCCTCGATCTGGCTCTCTATGTGGGTCTCTATATGTCGCTCAATCTGGATGTGTATGTGTGTCTCTATATGTCCTTCAATCTTGCTCCGTATGTGGGTCTCTATATGTCCCTCAATCTGGCTCTGTATGTGTGTCTCTATATGTCCCTCAATCTGGCTCTGTATGTGGGTCTCTATATGTCCCTCAATCTGGATGTGTATGTGTGTCCCTATATGTCCCTCAATCTGGCTCTGTATGTGGGTCTCTATATGTCCCTCAATCTGGCTCTGTATGTGTGTCTCTATCTGTCCCTCAATCTGGCTCTGTATGTGTGTCTCTATCTGTCCCTCAATCTGGCTCTGTATGTGTGTCTCTATCTGTCCCTCAATATGGCTCTGTATGTGTGTCTCTTTCTGTCCCTCAATCTTGGTCTGTATGCATGTCTCTCTCTACGTCCCTCCATCTGTGTCTCTATCTGTCCCTCGATCTGGCTCTGTATGTGTGTCTCTATATGTCACTCAGTCTGGCTCTGTATGTGGGTCTCTATATGTCCCTCAATCTGGCTCTGTATGTGTGTCTCTATATGTCCCTCAATCTGGCTCTGTATGTGTGTCTCTACATGTCACTCAGTCTGGCTCTGTATGTGTGTCTCTATATGTCCCTCGATCTGGCTCTGTATGTGTGTCTCTATATGTCCCTTAGTCTGGCTCTGTATGTGGGTCTTCATCTGCCCCTCGTTTGGGCCTGTTATGTAGGTCTCTATCTGTCCCTCAATCTGGCTCTGTATGTGGGTCTCTATATGTCCCTCAATCTGGCTCTGTATGTGGGTCTCTATCTGTCCCTCAATCTGGCTCTGTATGTGTGTCTCTATCTGTCCCTCAATCTGGCTCTGTATGTGTGTCTCTATCTGTCCTTCAATCTGGCTCTGTATGTGTGTCTCTTTCTGTCCCTCAATCTTGGTCTGTATGCATGTCTCTCTCTACGTCCCTCCATCTGTGTCTCTATCTGTCCCTCGATCTGGCTCTGTATGTGTGTCTCTATCTGTCCCTCAATCTGGCTCTGTATGTGTGTCTCTATCTGTCCCTCAATCTGGCTCTGTATGTGTGTCTCTTTCTGTCCCTCAATATTGGTCTGTATGCATGTCTCTCTCTACGTCCCTCCATCTGTGTCTCTATCTGTCCCTCGATCTGGCTCTGTATGTGTGTCTCTATATGTCACTCAGTCTGGCTCTGTATGTGGGTCTCTATATGTCCCTTAATCTGGCTCTGTATGTGTGTCTCTATCTGTCCCTCAATCTGGCTCTGTATGTGTGTCTCTATCTGTCCCTCAATCTGGCTCTGTATGTGTGTCTCTATCTGTCCCTCAATCTGGCTCTGTATGTGTGTCTCTTTCTGTCCCTCAATCTTGGTCTGTATGCATGTCTCTCTCTACGTCCTTCCATCTGTGTCTCTATCTGTCCCTCAATCTGGCTCTGTATGTGTGTCTCTATCTGTCCCTCAATCTGGCTCTGTATGTGTGTCTCTATCTGTCCCTCAATCTGGCTCTGTATGTGTGTCTCTTTCTGTCCCTCAATATTGGTCTGTATGCATGTCTCTCTCTACGTCCCTCCATCTGTGTCTCTATCTGTCCCTCGATCTGGCTCTGTATGTGTGTCTCTATATGTCACTCAGTCTGGCTCTGTATGTGGGTCTCTATATGTCCCTCAATCTGGCTCTGTATGTGTGTCTCTATCTGTCCCTCAATCTGGCTCTGTATGTGTGTCTCTATCTGTCCCTCAATCTGGCTCTGTATGTGTGTCTCTTTCTGTCCCTCAATCTTGGTCTGTATGCATGTCTCTCTCTACGTCCCTCCATCTGTGTCTCTATCTGTCCCTCGATCTGGCTCTTTATGTGTGTCTCTATATGTCCCTCGATCTGGCCCTGTATGTGTGTCTCTATATGTCCCTCGATCTGGCTCTGTATGCGTGTCTCTATCAGTCCCCCAATTTGGCTCTGTATGTGTGTCTCTATATGTCCCTCGATCTGGTTCTGTATGTGTGTCTCTATATGTCCCTCGATCTGGTTCTGTATGTGGGTCTCTATATATCTCTCAATCTGGCTCTGTATGTGTGTCTCTATATGTCCCTCAATCTGGCTCTGTATATGGGTCTCTTTCTGTCCCTCAATCTTGGTCTGTATGCATGTCTCATTACGTCCCTCCATCTGTGTCTCTATCTGTCCCTCGATCTGGCTCTGTATGTGTGTCTCTTCATGTCCGTCGATCTGGCCCTGTATGTGTGTCTCTATATGTCCCTCGATCTGGCTCTGTATGCGTGTCTCTCTAAGTCCCCCAATTTGGCTCTGTATGTGGGTCCATATATGTCCTTCAATCTGGCTCTGTATATGGGTATCATTCTGTCCCTCAATCCGGCTCTGTATGTGTGTCTCTATCTCTCCCTCAACCTGTTACTCTATGTGTGTCTGTATCTGATCCTCAATCTGGCTCTGTATGTGTGTCTCTATATGTCCCTCGATCTGGCCCAGTATGTGTGTCTCTATATGTCCCTCGATCTGGCTCTGTATGCGTGTCTCTATCAGTCCCCCAATTTGGCTCTGTATGTGTGTCTCTATATGTCCCTCGATCTGGTTCTGTATGTGTGTCTCTATATGTCCCTCGATCTGGTTCTGTATGTGGGTCTCTATATGTCTCTCAATCTGGCTGTGTATGTGTGTCTCTATATGTCCCTCGATCTGGTTCTGTATGTGGGTCTCTATCTGTCCCTCGATCTGGCTCTGTATGTGTGTCTCTATATGTCCCTCGATCTGGCTCTGTATGCGTGTCTCTATCAGTCCCCCAATCTGGCTCTGTATGTGTGTCTCTTCATGTCCCTCGATCTGGCTCTGTATGTGGGTCCATATATGTCCTTCAATCTGGCTCTGTATATCGGTATCATTCTGTCCCTCAATCCGGCTCTGTATGTGTGTCTCTATCTCTCCCTCAACCTGTGCCTCTATGTGTGTCTGTATCTGATCCTCAATCTGGCTCTGTATGTGTGTCTCTATATGTCCCTCGATCTGGCTCTGTATATGGGCCTCTATCTGTCCCTCAATCTGGCTCTGTATGCGTGTGTGTTTTCATTTGACATTAGGCCCTCAAACCTCATTTCGCCGAATCAATACCTTCGAGGTATCTGTCGAGGATAAAGAACAACTGCCTTTTTAGGAAATCAATTAAGCTTAATCTCTTGAACCTCATAGCAGATTGAAAGGTCTTCCCTGCAATGAAACCACTAGATGTTCAGTGAATGGCAACACGCATCGTGCGTTTGAGTTGACAGGAGAGAACATTCTGCGACAAATATTTCTCTTTGAAGTAATTAGTGGATGACGGTATTCGCAAGTGTTATCCCTGAGCTTAATTGACAGTTGCCCCCACATGGCATGCGTGAAAGAGGTTATCAATTGAACGGAACACGTCTTTCAACCAATTATTAAAGAACCTTGGTCCAAGGGAGGACAGCAGCGCGTGCTACTCTCATTAGAGTATTGGTAGCAAACGATGTATCACTGTGCTGTGGGAATACAGGGAATTCAGGTTGAGTTGTGGGAATTTTAAGAGAGCCCATGATGTTTGGATCAGTGGCGCGCAGTGACCATCTTATCCTTGTCATATACGTCTGCAATTCGCTGTGCAGTCCTGAGTCTCTTATAGGTGTGGGTTTAAATCTCGGTATCTAGGTTTGTCTGCACCATACACGGGCTCGTCCGTGTGACGAAAGTGGTAAACGTATAATACCTGTTTCAACTTTTCTCACATATCGAGCTGACACTCGATATTACTTAAATGTTGTTTAAAGTGACGTTACATTTCACCTGACTCTGACATTTGTTTCCATCAGTGCTAGACGTACATACATATTGATTCATGAAAGTGGATATCTTTCGTCATAAGTTTGATCGAATTCTACCAGGATACTATTATCAGAAATGCACTACACATTTCATCAGCTCAAAATGACAGAATAATAAAACGAATATGACCCTCTGGATTCATCTTCCCAATGGAATAATTGCTCCACCAATCAATAATGAGTGGTGAAGAAGTAATGCTCTGTTTTTCACCAGTTAACACAGACAGATGACATTTGCATCTGATAGTGACTGATTTTGGTTAAACGTCGCTTTAAATATAATTGCAAAACAATGAAGGCTTTGGAGGCGAGGTGAAATAGGATTTAAGATAGCGTTCAAGATTAATGCACTTATACAGTGACGTGAAAAGGCCACGCTGATGCAGATCGTGGGCGTTGCCACCTGGTATGGAAGTGTTAAACCGTAAATCTAAGTCAGGGGGATTCAAATCATGTACCATACATATCTGGTCTATGTATGAAAGTAACGCCTTGACAAAAAAATTCGTTTTAAATTTCTTTCGTTGAATGTAAAATATATTAAGAATAGGTTGATAACTTGTCTTGATATATTGCTCGTAACTGCGGACAATACGTGTACCAACAATACTACAGATGCAGATAAGTGAATAACAATCATCAACACATGTTTTCTATAACATGCAATATTAGAATATCCGTCATGTATCGAATATATTCATTTTTATCCTGAAAAGAATTTTTAAAATGTATTATTACCCAAAATATATATTAAGGTTTTTTTACACTGACGTATCCAGCTATATTGGGTTATTATTAACATGTACTTAAAGTCACTTAAATCTCACGAGTGTTAATATAATATGCAGCAGGCACTTGCCTGTTCCGTTGTCAAGATTGAGACGCGAGATGCTTCAAGTGTAGTGTATTGGCATATTGTACAAGCACATTTTGGAGAATACCTGTTCCCATAGTTGTTTTATTCCGAAATACGGATCACTCCCAACGAGCATACTCAATTAATAAAATAGCGTACCTCGTCTTTGTTCATTATTTCTTCGTGGAAAAGACATCACGTCCAGCATTTTACCAATTCACCTGTTCTGGTGGATGGAAAAGGGTTTGCTCTCAGGTTAACAGAATTCAGAATGACTGTAAACGTCTGTTACATGCAACACAAAAAAGTCACGAATAACGAACTGTAAAATGAGAGTGTAGCTCTGCAATCTGATTGGTTGATTTTGATATCCATGCTCGTAAGTGGTATAATGTTGTAAACAACACAAAACTTTAAGGCATATAATCTAATGCGAAGGTGAAACTGTCATGATGCGTCTACACATGCCATGTCAGATATGTGGCAGTTTGGTTCCACGTAACAACTTCCAGCGGATCAGAGGCATTGTTACGTACACTTTGCACCAGCTACATGCGCGTGGGCAGAGAAAGCCATACTTGACAGTTTCAATCATTCGTTTATGACATGCCCACGTGCACACATCAAGACAAATTGAGTACATGAAGCCCGTTAAGTCCACTTGACTTACTATTAGCTTGCTGAAGATGTCATCTCGAATATCCAACTTTAAGGGACTGTAGCATGTGTGTTTATGTTTTTTGTTTATGCTTCATAAAAAAAACCAAAACAGATATGTATTTTTTTGTATTTTTAATGTGTACTGGTGTTCAGCTCAAGTGAAGATGGACCCCATAAGGGTCTTTCAGTTTCACATACTGCCTTGAAATTTAAATCTGCCTCGTCAGATTTGTCATGCCTTACTTCCTGTAGGGGTACTCAGCGCCAAGATACATCTCACTCTGTCCAACGACTTACCGCCTCCGTGTCACCTTATTCCTCTCAGACTTTCATCGACTTTCATCGATCACTACGAACTAATTTTATGCACTACTTTTGTACAAGGTTATATACAGCATTATGGACTAGTTGTACTACTTCATGCATTTCTATTTGCACTAGTTTATGTACTGCATTATTGACAACGTGTACTATTTATATACTGCATAATACACCATTGATGCATTTTATAGTACATTATTGACCATTTTGCATCAATGTATGCACTACTTCATGCATTACATTCTTCACTAGTTTATGTATTCATTAGAGATTAGTTGTACCACTTTATGCATTGCTATGTGTACTAGTTTAGGTACTACATAATACACTTATGTGTGCACTACATTATGCAAGAGAATTAGAAAAATGACCATGAAGTGATCAACAGGTTTATCATCATCAAGTCAGCGAGGACAAATGCGTAAAATGAAAAAAGTTCCATTAAACCACCAAGTTTACGTGAAAACATAATACATTTCAGCGCATAGTGCACTGATTTGTGTACTACATAAATACACTCATGTATGCACTTTAAGCACAAAACAAATTCATGTACTACTTCATTTGCGGCAGCAAATAAAAGCAACAAAATCATTTCTATAGTCATGATAAGCATAAAGGTCCAATGTACGATTTTTTTTATGAACTTTTTATTTAATTATATGTTACCTCTTAATGATCATGAACTTTTTTTTTAACTAATGATGCACTACTTTATACACATTTATTTGTGATCATGACTATAAGAACTATTTCAATGACATAAAAGACCCGTAAAGATCCGAATTAGAATAGGTCTTCAGCAACCGATGCTTGTCGCAAAAGGCAACTAACCGGGTCAGGTGGTCATCCTCGCTGACTAGGTTGATGCATGTCGTCGTGTACCAATTGCGTAGATCGAGTACGAACTCTATTATTTACAGACCGCCGTCATACAGTTGGAATATTGCTGAGTGCGGCGTTAAACAACAAACTAACAAACAATAACATAGAAATGATACCTTCGTAATTTGGAAGCATTGGTCTCTCTGAATGGCTGGCTTCCATCTTTGTATTTCAGTAGTTTTTGCTTGAAGTTCCCCTTTTTCCAGTGATTGATATTGGTCTGGAGAACTTTTGTTTGTTGGCAGGAAATGTCGTCGTTATTTTTGCACATTAATCCAGCCTTATGTTAACATAAAATAACCATTAATATAATTCAATATGGGTCATCTTGTGAAGGGAAGCTGAAACGTCAATACAAAGAAGACAGTGGTTCGTGGAACTTATAATTGAATTAATGTTATACTCAAATGTTGTTTTGTTCAATAGGTCCTCGAGATGAACCTGTCTGACACCACAGTGCCATTGAGAGTACGGCAGTACGCCAACCTCACCAGCATTCCATACCCGGAACCTCCTGACCACCTCCTCGTGGCAACTACGGCATTCTACGTCATCATCTTCCTATTGGGCATCGGCGGGAATCTGCTCGTGCTGCTCGTCTTCCTGTCCTGTCGCTCTCTGCGCACCTTCATCAACTCCCTCTTCCTGAATCTGTGCCTAGCTGACTTCCTTGTCCTGCTGATCAGCGGACCGACTGCGGTGTTGGATATCTATGCCATGGAGGTGTGGTACCTTGGAGGAGTCATGTGTACGTAGATCAATGTCTGTCATCTTCGCGATGCAATCGCGTCCACTTGCCTATGTCAAAGCCTATTTTCTACACTTGCCACATCAAGGCCACTTGGCTCGACCCTGGCGCCACCTCGCATAGATCACGAGTTGTGCCGCTTGTAATGAAAATGCGATATCCAATCAGATCGCTGTTCTTATCTCGTATAGGTTCACAAAGATGGCGACTCAGTAGTCGAAGACCTAGTCGATCAGATAACGAAATCATTCGCAATTTCATCCCTGACACAAAACATAGACAATCCTTTTTCGAAGAAAAAGACGTGTCAACAAGGACAGGCAGCGGTAAATCACTTTCATACGATGGTGTACCATTCGTGGATGTTGATTTTGTGAAATGTTCCCTGATTGGACTATCGATATGCGCGATAGTCCCTCATATTTAGAACAGAAAAGTGGGCTTGATGTGGCAAGGGTGGAAACAAGACTTTAATAAAAAAGGGTAGCAGGCGCTTTCGCCTCGGAAAGATGAATGTCTATATACCCATAAACTTGTCTAGACTGAGTGAGTGAGTATGGTTTAACGAAGCTTTGAACAATATCGAATAATTATCTGACAGCTGTTATATGTATGATCCATGTTGTCTGTCCTCTTATTGTATTTTTGCACATAGACAAAATTATGCCAGTCCCATAGGTATTATTGTAAAGCATTTTCAAGTAATGCTTTTCAGAGCATGCTGAACAGATGACACATACATTCACGAAGGTGTCTGATGTAGCATGCTTACATATACTTACGTAGATTATTGCTTTTGATACTTGTCTTTCGTAGACGTTGGTCGAAATAACGCTAAACAAAAATCTTAGGACATCCCATTACGGGTCACGTCAGAACGACCTTTCATCCGACCATTAAGAGCATCGCCTACGAGATCAGGAAAGTGACAGTCGGAATGTATTTTGTAATCATACAACCTCCGTAGCGAGAACTAAGATCTGACTTTAATTTAAACTTTAATTTGATACAACCAGAAACGTGTCTACAGTGAGTTAGTGGGTGTGGTTTAACGCCGCGTTTAACAGTATTTCAGTTATATCACGTTTCTGCTTAATGTGGGAGGAAATCCCAAACTGATGCTGGTCTTACACGTTTACTACTTTGTTAAAACCAACGTTCAAGGGTATGGTGCAACGTCATCAGGATTCGAACCAGCGAGTAAAGGTTTCTTCTTGCCTAACTGATACTAAATTGCCGGACAAAGAAAGTTTAGACCCATGTTTCATGGTGCCCAAAACTGAATCAAACAATAAATAGTAATTCGATGAATATATTAGACGAGGATGGCAGAGTTGTGTTCAGGACCTTAAGTTTGCAGTGTTTCGGCGAATGTTGTCAGCCTAGTAAAGTGTTGATAATGTTCGCAATGTTTTAGTCAAATCCAATTTTCAAGTGTATACTTTCTTCTGCCCGGCAATTTAGTCCAAACCATTATGATCGGTACCGAAGACTGTGTATAACATTTAAACGAGCCAGGTCATGTTCAAAAAAGCGATCTTAGTGCTAAGTCACAGTAGATCGCAACGCTCATCCTTTAGCATTGATGTATCAAAATCTTGTCATAGCATCAGTCTGCTTCACAATCAACTGAATTTTAAAATACTTTGTTGTTGGCAATTCAGCAGTTTGACTTGGACTTTTTCATGTACACTCAGTAACAGGTTATTGATGTGGCGTTGAGGTTATGGTAAAATATGCATCATTAGATATGACACCGATTTAGTGAAAAACTTACCTTCAAATATGATAATTTATTGATGCATCCTATGGCTCCATTACCAGTACAGCATCTGCTCTTACTAAGAGATTACGCACAATAATCAATATTGTCTATTTCTGTATGTCACAAATTATCCCATATTCTGTTACCGCGCAATGTTCTCTAGAGGTTAGAAAATTGATTACAGAGAGACATGAATACCGACATTTGTTGAATGCCACTGGTTTTGTGCAGTGTGTTATGCCAAAACAAATTTGCACATGGCAATCCTCTCTGGATGTTGTCATAAATCAGTTATAAGCAAACAGAACTAAACAATCAAACTCATACACATAACAACAGCGGTTTCTTCGATTTTACAGCTAAATGCAATGGGATTCCCAAGGTGTCGTTATATGCCATGCTGTGTGTCATGAGGTATGGTAGATCATGAGACAAGACATGTTGCCTGTCAGGTCCCCATGACATCCTACCAAACACATTCCAAAAAAAATCTCGATACTGATGAGTGGTTCAGATGACTTGCACATCGGATTAGTCGAATTGTTCATCGGTTTTGTTAACTGTATATCGGTTTCGTGAACTTTCCACTGGGTCAGGTAAACTGTACACAGGGTTAGGTGACCGGTACATCGGGAAGGTGAATTATACATCGGGTAAGGTGAAGCATGAGATTATGGTATATCCCGTAGATACTATCAGGCATGAGAAGTTAGCTGTTCATTTAGCTATTGTGAAGCACGATGCTTAATTCCAGAAACCCTCGTGGTTCATTGCCCGATGGATTCATTCTGAAGAATACTAAACTGACAGGGCCTAAGCTTGCAGTGTTTCACTGTAATTTTTCAGATAAATCCAACTTCTACATGTATACTTTCTTTTGCCCTAAACCCTACAATATAACTACACCAAGCACAATTAAATTCGACCTTATGTTTTGGATTTGGATTAAATAATGTCTTCGAAAGAGTTTCAGACTAATTACCAACAGTATGCAGACCAGCAAACATACATCCAACACTCCATGCATGTCAGAAGCAAATATTGACTCACAAGTGGCTTACACAATTCCTATTCTTGACCATTTACATATGTACGTACACTCAGTAATAAATTCTTGAAAGACCTATTCGACAAAACATGATGATATCCGACATACACGTTGCCAAAAACATATACCTACCATTCACAATACGATAATTAATTGATGCATCTCTATGACTCCATTAAGACTTTAAGCTGATGCTGTTGCTACTTCCAGACATCTGCCGGTAACTTTCACAGTTACCTTTGCATCTTTCTTAAAATATTTTATTAAATATGAATAAGTATTTCTTAATGCCCGTCATTACCACTATTCACAGAAGAAGCATTAGATTCCATGTTGTTTGAAACTCAATACAAAAATTACCTCTCGGATACTATTCTATTCTTAATAAAACAGTCTTCATCCGACAATATTTTTAAAGTAATAATTACAATAATTGATAAATGAGAGCTCGTTGGGATTTTTATCTCAGTTAGATACCTTTTTGGGTTAATTCGACAAGAAAATCAATCTTATGACATTTCCTCTCATTCTAATTATGCCTTTTTATATAATTATATTAGCAAACACGTTTTATGCTATTATCTGTAGAGCGCCATATGAAGGGATGTAGTTATGAAATGTAAGTCGGCTGCTGGGTTTAGCTACATAATAACTATAGACACAAGAAGGCTCTCAAATCATATTTCGAAAAAAGGTTAATCAATGACATTAGGTATTTGATATTCTGGCTTTTATTCGGAAGAGGAACAGTTGTCGATCTTATACTTTCACCATTTTGGTGAAAACAAATAATATAATGAAGGCAAATTTGGGATTTGAAACGTTGATCACAGCTTTCTGGCTCACTAAGGTAAAGGAAATTCTGAGAATTTCGGCAACTTAGGCAACACAGGAAAACTTCTTTGCAATAAACCGAAACTCGAAAACAGAAAATACATGAACATCTGCATTGAATATACCTTTAAAGAAGTTTGAAATGTTTCATTTAAAAAAATCCTTATGACATACGAATAGGAATACTCCAAATACTCTTTTTTTCAGGCAAAACGGTGCCTTTCGTAGAGAACATGGTAGCCAACGCTTCCATCTTGTCAATCCTAGCTGTCAGCATAGAGCGGTATCGCGTTGCCAGCCGGCCCCTCAGTCAACACGGCGGGAGCTGCAATGCTGCTGTCAAGACAATGGTGATGATCTGGGTGATCTCAGCCACAGTGGCGTCCCCCATTCTGTTTATAGCCAAGTACAAAAGTGCCCTACTCTTGGATGGAACTTCTGTCAAAGTCTGTAAAACAACGTTACATCTCTCATGGCATAAAATATACGTTCTGTTATCGACAGTGCTCTTCTTTCTCATCCCTTTCGTTGTGCTGGTGTTTCTGTACTCGAAAATGTGTTTGCGGGTTCTGTCGTCCAGACGAAGTAGTATGGAGGAGATTCCTGCACAGATGAAGGAGGTGAACCGTCTGAAGAAACAACTTCTCCTTATTGTCTTAACTGTGGTGCTAGCGTTCTTTGTGTGCCAGACACCATATCGTGCCATTGTTTTATGGATGTTGTTTGACACAACAAAAAGTGTTCGGAATCTCGGTTTTGTCGGCTATTTAAGTTTGATCTACTTTACCAGGATACTTCTTTACTTAAACCACGCCATAAATCCTTTTTTGTATAACTTCGTGTCCAGAAAATTTCGACGTGCCTTAACCTCAATTTGTTGCAGGGCCTTCCGAAGAAAATCTTTCAATGACTTTCGTGAAGCAAGAAAAAGGAACTTCGCCGTTGAGATACAAAACAGACTCGGATGTGGGCAGCTGCGAAGTCTGGAGCACACGCATTGTCTGTCACCACGTCACCGGCATCGGCATCGTCAAAATGACTTTCTGATGTTGTATGAAAACCTTATTGAATGACATTATCACAATCATATATTCTTACTTGTTAAATGATCGACGAGAGGCCTCCGTATTTGTTCAAGACGTGTAAGTTATGTTAAACTGTGATAGACTTAGAGTAATCGTAACTATCTACATAATTGTTTGTTGCTGGTCTGTTTGGCAAGGCAAATGTCAAGCCATTAATCATTCCCCTGATTATATTAAACTTTGCATCCCTTAGTCGAACCAATTGACGCGGATCACTCGTTCGTTTCAAGGGAAACGCCTACGTCACACTTACGTCACTTTGGGGTTTTCACTCATATTGATATGGCACATCGATTCACATTGGTAAACACTAATTAATTCATTAATGAAATCTAAAATGAATCTATCATACAATTCTAAACTTTGGAGAATGTATATTTTGCGTTCATATCCGCGTTACGTCCTGATGATACAAAGCAAGGGATATGAGATCCTTTGTTTGAGATAGGACATAGTTTTGCTTCCTCAAGTAACCAATCCCGTCAAGAGAATAAAAAAGGGTTTCTGCAAAACTTGACCTGTTCTAAAAAATCAGCCACCCTCAGGCTCTCAGAATATAAATCTATCTGATTTAATTAATCGCCTGTGTTAACTACACTCTTCAAAAAAAGAAACGCATAGGTGTTTTGAGAATTCCATGTGAGATGTTTTTCCCCAGCAATCGTCATAAAGACAATTCTTATGTTTGATTCCCGTTAATCATGTAATGTTTGTTGTGCATTGCGCGCAAACACATCTCAAAATGTTTTTTTTGTAAACGTTTATCAGCAATAATGCAAAGGATGCACGGAAATTACTTTCAGAAAAAGTTTTCAGCACAATGCACATTCAAAGTATTGGAAACAAGAGTAGAGACACTGACTATAAAAGACCGTACAAAATTCATCAGTTCATTACGAATTTTCTGACGTGAACGGAGATCCAAAAATGTCAAGATTAACTGCAGCTGACCGAAATATCGCCATTGGACGTTTTGAAGCAGGGGAGTCCCAGTCTGCCGTTGCAAGACACGTCAACGTTCACCAAAGCACCATATCTCGACTATGGGATCGCACTAATTCGACTCAAGATCATCCCAGAAGTGGAAGACCAAGAGTGACCAACCCTGCTCAGGATCGGTACTTCCGGTTGCATCACCTTCGGAATCGATTTGCAACAGCAACGGACACTGCAGGACAAGTGCCTGGTACGCGAAGAATTTCCGACCAAACCATCAGAAATCGTCTGAGGGAAGTGGGAATTCGAGCGAGACGACCAAAAGTTGGACCTGTCTTGCGACGTCTACACCGTCAACAACGTGTCCGGTGGTGCGACAGAGTACAGGCATGGGATCTCAGGAACTGGCGACGCGTTTGGTTCAGCGATGAGTCACGTTTTCTTCTTCAACGACGGAATGGAAGACAATGTGTATACCGACGTCGACATGAACGTTTTGCGCCGAACTGCTTTCGACAGGTGGACCGATTTGGTGGAGGGAGTGTCATGGTGTGGGGAGCATTATCCTACACGGGTAGATCACAGTTAGTGGTTGTCCAGGACAATCTTACAGCAAACCGATACATAGACCAAATTCTGCGTCCTCACCTCCTCCCAACTTTCAACCGCCAGAGGGAGCTGTTCCAACATGACAACGCTCGGCCCCACACAGCCCGTGCAACAGTTAATTTCCTTGTTAATAAGAACATCAATGTCCTTCCATGGCCGTCTAAATCGCCTGATCTCAACCCGATTAAACATTTGTGGGACGAACTTGATCGAGGCGTCCATCAACGTCACCAGCGTCCCCACACACTGGCACAACTCGCCAACGCCTTACAGGAGGAATGGCGAAGAAAATCCGGTGACTTGTGCAATCTGTGCCAAGGAGGTGTCGAGCAGTGACGACTGCAAGAGGTGGTGTGACCAGGTACTGACCATGACGCCCCCTTGTTGCTACACATGTGCAATGATTGAACTGAATTAATGCTGACAATGACGACAATGCTTTTGTCTCTAATTTCAATTTCATGTTCTCGCATATTCTGTATAGATACTTTTACACCCGCTAAATAAATATCCTAATTTTTTAACAATGCGTTTCTTTTTTTGAAGAGTGTATAAGGGGCACACCAATCATCACGGGGATGGAGATACTAACCGGCATTTTCAGATCTGTACGACAATTTGGTCAAATGCATTTTTAAAATACTAAAATTCTATATTCCCTTAAAGTGTTGACTATGTTTGGGTGGAGTCACAATCCATCTAAACTGCCGGACAAAAGACAATACACACTTGAAAGTTGGATTTTATCAAATAATTACAAACGTTATCAAAACGTTACTAGGCGGAAAACAGTCGCCGAAACATTGTAGACTCAGTTCCAAAACGAACCAATGGACATGACCATTGCATAACCATTTCTTGATTGTTTCATTCTAGCCACCATCACATATGGGTTTATACTTTGAAGACAACGATTAAAGATGACATCACCTATAATGCAATGAGGGTCGGTCGGGTTATTGTGGTTAAAGCGTTCGCTGGTCACGCCGAAGACCCGGGTTCGATTCCCGACGTGGGTACAATGTGTGAAGTCCATTTCTGGTGTCCCCCGCCGTGATATTGCTGGAATAGTGCTAAAAGCGGCGTAAAACCAGACTCACTCACTATAATGCAATGATCAGTTATTCCTCTTTGTTGCATTTATGTACCTCCTAGCTGGAGTTTTGAGAATTTAATCTATGAAATTCACCTTGTATTTCGATGTTATATAAGTTCATGATATTAAAAGTTTGTTGCAGATTCAATTCTTTGTTGTATCCATTGAATGTCATTTACAAGATAAGCGCATATCATGCGTCACAAACGTACAAAGTCGATGCTGTTATCAATGAATGATTTGGAGTAAAGTGAATGTTTGAATCCATAATGGACGTGTAATTTGTCCTGTAATCCAGAGTGATAGATCCGAATCTACCAATTTAAAAACTCCGGTACCTCTGAGTGACAGTAAACGGATATTAACCATAACTGTTTGCAAAAGTATCAAATATATGGTGGATTTGGAAAGCAGTATCAGCTTTTAATGTAATAATCTGAAAATATTACAGAAAGACATATTGTTTGCTGATTGTCTGATATGATCATACTATACCGTATTGTGAGTGAGACAGTTTAGTTTAGCGACGGTATGAGCAAAATTTCAGCCATTTAACTGAGGGATGCCGTAGTGATTCAGATCTGAGACGTTTACGACTTTGTTAAAAAACACAAATAAATATCCCTGCCAGTAGCACCCGCAACTCACGCAATTTGCATAAAAAATTTAAGTGTTTGATTGTTGCCTAACTCCGCGAATCAATACTCAAGTAATTGTGAGGATACTTTTAATTAGACATCCTCAAAAGTATCACATATGCTGTCAGCCCTTTGCTTGTATAGGCATCATGTTCCGACACGAGAGATGTAATTACCTCGATGAAATCGTTATATGGTCAGACACATGATACTCAAATCTGGCGTAGTTTTGTCGATCATTGACGTATTTATACAGAACCTCTATGTCGGGAACGGATGACTGTCTGAAGGCCAAGTTGTTTACAAGAGAGCCGTTTGTGTTGTTCACAACAAACGGCTGTATAGTACATTTTTAGAACAGTTTTTAAAAGTACAACAAAACACCAAGCTTTTGTCACAGAAATACCATCTTTGACAAAATTATTGTTCTCATAAAGAAAATCAATTAACTCTCAAATATTGAAGATTAGACAACAGTGTGTCCGTGTTGATAAAATACAGATATGTTCCAGTGTTGTTTTCAGGTGGCCAATTGACTTGCATTTGCTTGTGCATATTTCTCGTGAAGAGTCGGGGTAGAATTATTATAGGTCTTCAGCAAGCCAGGCTTGCCGTAAGAGGCGACTATGCTTGTCGTAAGAGGCGACTAAAGGGATCGGGTGGTCAGGCTCGCTTACTTGGTTGATACATGTCCTTGTATCCCAATTGAATAGATCGATGCTCATGATGTCACCCACTTGATTGTCTCGCCAGACTCAATTAAATTTAGACCGCCGTCATACACCTGGAATATTGCTGAGTGCGGCGTTAAACAACAAGCAAACAAACAAATGCACGTGCATGTGTTGCCATCGATTGGACAGGATAGGCTCACCTTTTCGCGAACACCTGGTATCATCACTATTAAATATTGATTTAGAAACATATCCTTAATAAACAGTCGCAATCGTAATCGCAATGGTGTCTGCTTTTAAAGAGATTTCTTGTGGATATGGAAAGGTTTGTTGTCGCCTTTTTCAATACACTAGTTTGTAACCAGGTATATGTTCTATCAAGTATTGAGTCGGGATTAACAGTATTCAAAAACTATGCAGGTCTTTTGTGCCACTTTGCCACTTTGTTGAAACCCACGACCACGGGTATGGTGCTGATAAACCAAAAATGATATTTATCTTTGTAGCTATTTGATCGGCATTCTATGATATGCAGCAGATTAACATCAACACAATAGGTGAGGTGAGATAAATTTAACGTCGCGTCCAAGATTATTGCACTTATCAAGCGACGTGCATGCATCTGTGTATGGCTGCTTGTACTAGTCCGGAATGATATACAGTGCTAACCAACTTATCCCATGCCGCAATTTAACATGAATACACCACTCAGACAGGGTATACTGACTCCGAGCTGACCAGTCCTTGTTTTAGCCCCTTAATGCCGAGCGCAAATGCCGAGCGCCAGACAGGGTAACAACAATTACCATCTATTCACGTCCTTTGGTATGACGCGGCCGGGGATCGAACCCCTGACCTTCTGCTCTCCGGGCGGAAGCTCTACCACTAGACCACGGAGGCGGTCAACAACAACAGATAATTGGATGAAGCCAGATTTAAAGTATATATAGACGGAATATATATATATATATATATATATATATATATATATATATATATATATATATATATATATATATATATATATATATATATATATATATATCTCATCACTTGGTTGTAGTCACACCAGTATGAGAACGGTGTAAGAATCTACATGGAAACGTCGTTGAATGCAATAAACTGGAAGTTGTTTTCATATATTTCTGTGCAGCGCTTCAATCAATACAACCACATAATAAAAAAAAAAATTAAATATATAATTTATTAACTGAACAATCGAAAAGTAATTTGCAAGTGTTTGAGAGTGGGAAAGCAACAACACCCTTGGTATTTATTCTCAAGACCCTTCCACTGACTGATATCTGATAACATATAAGGCCTTTTTAGGTCACACCATGTTATGATATGATACTATTACACAAAGCCTAAATGTGGGGTAGAACATTTGAACGTTAAAAAACGTTGAACGTCTCTGGAATATCACTTGTAGAAGATGGTGTTTAAAGCTGCTTTGCAATTTGCACTCAGACAATATAGCCATTGGGAGTTGGTTTTCTACGAATCCATTTCACGCTACTTGATTGCTTATGGTAATGAAACTCGCATCTTGGACTGATATAGATATATATTATGATTTTAAACACTTCTGTGTCGCAGATTTCACGACACTCATCAGTACTTTGACATTGTTCCAGAAAGATAGATCCTCAACATTAAAAGCATTCAGATATGTGAGCAGAATGACTTGGCAGAAATAATGGTGTCCACCAGAAATTGCAGAGTAAATTGTGATTACGACACATTGGTCTCTTTCGAGAAGGTTGCTATTTGTATGTGGTAAAGATTGTTAAAATAATTCATGTTTAATACAGAACACGCATAAAATTGAAAACGTTATTGATTCACTCGTAAAAGTGTACATTGCATATATACTGAGTTAAATTAAAAACTTCACATTTTTAAAAGTAATCCAGTATATGATATACAACGGACAAATGTATCAGAAAAGGTAATTTTTAATCATTAATGTCCAAAAAAGGATTTTAATTAACGGTG